AAGAATATTCCTCCTAGTGAGGCGAGGATGGAGGCATTGTTTTTCCCATGAAATTTCATGGGGAACTTCCTTCACCCCGTACAAAACCGTGGAGATCTATATAAAATAAAAGAAAATATAAATTTATTTATATATTTTTTTTAATATATTAACAATTAATTTTTACTTATTCAACCTAATTAACTGACCAATCTATTCTTTTTTCAGTTTTTTCAAACTCAATTATACAATCCAATCTAGTCCATGGTCTTTCTAAACTTAATTGCCCAGGCCCAACCCAATTTGCATTAGTAAATAGTAACCCTAGAACTATAAGGACTACTGTCCATATATAGATTTCATATCTACAAATCTGCAAACTGTGATTCCTCCTTCTCTCCAAACTCCAGTCTTCTTTCCTTTACATAGATTACGTTGTAGCTCACTGGCTCTGTTTTTGTTCTTCAATCGGTCAATTCCTTTCAACCTATCATTCTTGGCAACCTTCGAAAGGTTGTGCCATAGCTCTGTTTCTAATCTTCAATATGATATAAAGAATTTTTTCTAAAATTTTGTTAACTTGGGGTACTTGTTTTTGTTTCTGGAAGTTATTTCCTCAACTTGAAATTATCGATCAAGCTTAGTTTAAGTTGCTGCTGCAAAGTTTGCCTTTTTGGATTGGACGGATGTGTACACATGTGCCACTTACTAGACTCTTTTATACCCATTTTCTTAATGAACTTATTGCTGGACATCTATGACAGTAGTTTATGCATTTTTTTTTTCTATGAACTTTGCTGAATCTAGACTTGTGTGACAGTTGCAGTTTATGCTCCTTTTTTATGAACCTTTTTCTAGATTTGTTGAACCTATATGGCAATTTATGCCTTTTTTTCTTTATGAACTTATTGTTGACTTGCTAGACTTGCTTGACATGAATATATTGGCTGTGTATATTTAGTGCTTGTTTGTCTTGTTTCAAATTTTTACTTTATATGATTATTTGAGCTAGTTTTCTTTGATGAATGTAAAAACTAATGGAGTCTAAGTAAACCCATGTTGGACTTAATTTTAATTAACAAGCAGCGAAAATTTTGATTAACAAACAGTAGAGTAGATGATAAGTTTTTTTTTTTTGCAGGGACTCCAAATACCTGTGGGAACCTATCATTCCTCACGAGTATGGGAACGGATGCTATTTTTGATCCGCCACCAAAAATCCCTATGAGGATCTTTATACCCGCTATTAGTGAGGATGGGGAAGGGGTCCTTGCCCCTATAAAGACCGGTTGCCATCCCTAACGGTAAGCACCAATCTCTCATGGATCAAAATGGTTACTCATTCCCCTCCCCTTTAGCATAAAAATATCATAATAATTACTACGTTTCAATTTACCCCCAAAAAAAAACTATTTCTAAAGACAAATTTGGTATTTAAACAATGATAAAGGAGATTAAAATTTAAAATTAAAATTTGGGATGGATGACATGACTCATTTAAAATATTAAAATGTAAAATTTATATTATTTAATGATTAATTTTTTTATTTTTTAAAAATATGTGAGATTATATACATTAATTAATTTTAAAAAGTAATATAAGTTACGTCATTAATTCTAAATTATTCGTACTTCCTATCATTATTCTTTGTATTTATTCACTTTCTTTGTTTCAAAATAATAAATATTTTTTTATTTTAAAATTAAAGATTTAAATATAATTTTTTATTGAACCTCGCCCTTCGGGTCAAGTGACTCTAGCCACGCTTGTAAAGTTCATATCCCCTCCCCCAGGGCAACGGTTTGAGCCGGTCCCATGACAAAATGTTAAAATATATATATATAATTTTTTATTTTATTTATTTTATCCTTTAAAAATTTTTATGACAGAACAAATAACTAGAATTAAGATTAATTATAAAATTAAAATAAAAAATATTTGTTTAACTTAAAATATAAAAAAATTATTATTATTTTAAAATAAATTTTAAATAAAAAAAGGTGCAGTATTTTTGGACGAACAAAGTGGTTAGTTTTGAAAAGCTTGCTTTGACGGTTTAACGTAAAAATAAACTTTGGGCTGGCTACTTGTAGCCAGGTGGCCGGCCCATCCATTAGGTGATAGGCTGGGCCCTTTTGGGCCAAGTTCAGAATAGAATTGCTTGTTGAGTATCTGATCAAGCTGACCTAAATTTTCCTACCACTTGGTCTAAAAATAGAATCTTTGTAAAGCTATAATCATCACATCTACCAATTAAAGCTTAGCCTAGTTATTATCCTCTAATTTCAAAATTTTAATTCTGAAATTTAAACTTCCATAATTTTTTTTGACTTTTATTGTATTGGATATATCTCACAATTTGGAAGTAAAATGTAAAATAAAATATTCAATCAATTACCAACTTACAAGCATAATTGCATCAAATTGTGGCCAAAAAAAAAAAAAAATCATTACATTAGCATAAAATAAAACTAATCCCTAATTCTTCGGGAAATTAGACAAACTACATTGCCTACTTATTACATCCACACCGACCTTTCTGCCTTGGTCTAGTTCAGTCAACACCCGAAGTGGAAAAACCAAGCATTAATTCCAAAGATTCTGTATCTTAGATTGATATCTCAATTCCATAATTATGGTAATACATACTAAAATCGAAGGAAACCAAATCTCCCTTCTCTATATAACCTAAAGAAACTCCATTATTGTTTCTTGTATTGAATCTTCTCAAGTAGCTTTAGGGAAGGAAGCCATTCAAAGTTTAAGGTAACACCCTGCTCTTTATAGTAAAATCTCTGTTTTTTGCTTCTCCCATGCCTTTATTGCCTTTTTTTCTGTTTACAACACTTGCTTCGATCTATCCTATATGTTTTATTACCAGTTTTGTCATCTCTCTTAAACTCCAGCTACCGTTTGATTTATTGTTCAAACACAAAAGTCTGAAGAATCTTCAATCCAAACATACCCAGATGGCAAAGAACAAGTTTTTTAGCAAAAAAATCGAGCTTGATGTGTTTTCCTCTAATCCAAACACATCCGGATGTCTAAGAACAATTCTATTCTTCGAAAGTTTGGAACTTTTTATATGTTTTTTCTAACATGTTTTTATGTCTTAGAACTGTAGTTTTCAGACATAATGGGTCGGGGAAAGCTGAATTTGGAACTGATAAAGAATGAGAAATCTCGAGTACTGACATTCAGGAAGAGACTGAAGGGACTGATGAAGAAAGCTCACGAATTCACCACTCTTTGTGGAGTTAAGGCGTGCATGATCATCTACGGGCCGCCGAATCTCAAGGGCATGCCTGCGTCGGTCGATATTTGGCCTCCCGATTCTGCTGAAGTCAAGGCCGTCATTGACCAGTACAAGGAAGCGGCGGACCTGTTCGAGACCAAGCTAAAGAAGCCCTTCAACTTGGTTGACTTTTTTGGGGTGCGGCGGAGGATGATCAACGACGAGATTGCCAAGCTGCGGCGGAGAGGTAGCTTGGAGGCCAAGTATCCGATTAGGGATGATCAGATTAAGAATCTTTCGTTGAATCAAGTTAAGATTCTGAATTCTAAATTTGATTCCAAGATTGAGGCGGCGAATAGCAAGCTGAAGACGATGAAGAGGGGCCAATATATGATGGAATTGGATGTCTCAAAATCTGGGTGTGTACCAAATTTCTCTAATTTTCAGAGTAATTTGGATTTTGAAGTTTCAGAACCAGAATTCCACACCCAATTGCCTCCTTATTGTTGTCCCTACGATCAATCCATCCAATTTCAACCATACGAATATAATATTACTCCGGTGGACAATCCGATGATGACATTGCTGATGCACGATGAGCTTCCTTCTGGAGCGTCCAGCAACAGCAGCACACGCAATGGGCTGGTTCCATTCTCGGCGGCCAGCCATTATGATCCGCCGACAGCGGCTGGCATGGTAGTTAATGGGATGTTCAATAATCGTTGGGCGGTTCCGGTTCAATACATTGGGCCTCCAGTACAGCCGATGTCGGGGCAGTATCAAGCAGTTGCAAGTTTGCCTTCTCAGCAGCATGTTCCTCACTTTGGGAAGTATTATTGGGACACCAATTAGTTTAATCCAAGGAGAAGAAACAAAGGTTTTAGTGTTAGTAGATTTTTTTTAATTGAAGGTGTAGTAGAAACATTCTAAACCCTCTCCATGATTTGCAATTTTAACTGTAAAATAGGAATAATTGGATAAGAGAGACCCCAATTCTAATGATTTATTGTGTAATTTAATTTTGTGCAATAATTTTTCATAATTACATTATTAGTAACTTATTCTTTTCATTGTTTAATAGTATATATTTAGTTAACAGCCTAAATAGTTAAATGGTAATATTTTTTTGTTGGAATTAAAAAATTCAAAAAGTTTTGAATTCGAATTGTATAATATATGAGTGAGATGAAATAAGAAATGAAAAAGAGTTGTTTCCTGTTATATAACCAACATAAAAAATAAAAAAAAAAAGAGTACATATTTGAATTTAATAATTAAACATCTTTTTTAAATATTTTTCTTTACCTATGTGATATTGTAAATATATTCATTTACATTTTAATTAATTTTTATGGTTGGTATTTAAGGTATGTTACACTTCAATTTAGTTTAGTCGAGTACGTTGTGAATTTTTTCATACCGATAGAATTTGGAATTTGAAAATAAATTATATCAAACCTTATGATTTTCGATTTGGATCGATGTCGCATGTGCTCTGACTGATTTTTTTTTTTTTTTTAATATCACGTATTTTAAATTTCTTCCGACTCATGCTTATATGGTGGCTGCCTTGTATGGTGAATGTGATTAGTATGTAAGTTTTCAGGGCATGATTGTTTAATATTTATTTCGTTTTGTATTTTTTATTTTTCACCTAAATCAATCTTGGGGAAAAGATAATAATAGTATTCTCAATCTCACTTAAGATAATGGAGGAAATTTAAATTACATTTGTTAGCAGATGATTGATGTCTGTTACACCTTGGACATTCTACAAATTAAAGTACAAAGGTAATTTTCTGTGTTGTTTTGATTATATTAAAATTTTTAATTTCAACTTGTGCACAACTTTTATTTTGGACATATTTGAGAATTTATTCTTTTTCTTGGTTAGCTTGAAAACAATTCTAAATATTGTGGATGTTATTTGCTTATTCACTTGCAGATGCATATTTTAAATGCTAAAAAAGATTGGAGAATAAATTTATACAAGTTGGTTATTGAAATTTCAAGAACAAAATTAAATCATGAACAAGAATGATTAAAAAGACAACCACTAAATTAAGTGCGGTGCCTCTTGTGCTAAAAAACTTGTATATTAGGAAAAACAAAAGAAGAAGATAATTTCAATGCATTATCTTTTGTTTTCTTTCCTGACCATCTTCAGTGTAAATAGCCAACTGCTTCCCCAATATAAAACATGGACTTAATTTATGCACAAAATCAGCCTCATTGTTTCTTCACACTGGTTATCTCTTCTTCTCTCTGTGGGTAGAACTCTAAATCTACTCCTGAAATAAAATGGTAAGGTAAATCCACCCCTTAAATAAAATAAGAATAAATTATTTTTTAAAATGATTAATTAAGATAAATCATTCATTATTTAATATGTGATGTTGTTACACATTAGAAATTCATTTGTCATTTAAGTATTTTTTAATAAAAAGTTGATAGGTGATGACATCATAATAAGTGATTTGTCTTGATTGATAATTTAAAAAAATAATTTATTTTTGTATTTTTTTAAAAGGTAGATTTATTTTAACTCTCATTTTGAGGGGCAAATTTAGAAAATTTTGCCTCTCATTATCAACATTGTAGAGAGTCAATCCTTCCTTAATATGTCATTTTGCAATAAATCACTTATTTTGTTATTCACTTTTTTTTTTTTTTTTTGACAGAAGTGTTTGATAATTGTCCAGACATGAATTGGGATGGTTGTGCAGTTGGGTTTGACCAACAGATACCACATCAAAGAGCTTCATAAATAAGGAACAAACTTTCTTACCAACACAACCACTACCTCTTAAATATGTTAGATTTATATTAGTGCTGCTCACCAATTAAATATAATCTGATTTCCAATTTCTTTCAGTGAAATCAATCCCAATCTTAACTGTGACAGATCTTGGTCAAGTAATGACCTCGCATAAAGAAAACATTCAGTGGAAACTGGGAAAAAAAAATTCAAATTAATAGAATTTTATGGCTTGTTCTGTCTCAGTAAAAAAAAAAAATTAATAGAATTTTATGAAGTTTTTTTTTTTTTACTTTTCTTAAGATTGTTGTAACTATGCTTTTTTATGCTATGAAATTTTCATTAAGATTATGAATGTAATAAAGTTTGTTCAATCTAATTTCATCCCTAAAGTTAAATTATAAAGAGGTGGCACATGAGTGGGTGAAGTGACACATGTACTCATATCTCCAGCCAAAAACTTTAGCAGCAATCAAGGAGAAAATGGTTTAGGGTTTTTATCTCTATTTTAAGAACTGGTTTTCATTTTTGGCCAAGAAATTGAAATTACACAATGACTTAGAATCTCAATGATGAGTAGTGCTAAAAAATTGTTGCACTGATAGAACTGAAATTGGAAGTTAGAAAATAAATTATGTTAAATTCTACTACAAATAATTTGGAGTAAAGGTGCAAATAAGAATATCAACTTTATAATTTTTTTTTTATTTAAGGATGTTAACTTTATCAATTTTTAAATAAGGAAACTAACTTTCAATTTTTTCTATCTAAAAATATCAACTTTCAATTTTTTCTATTTAAAAATACTAACTTTCAACATTTCAGTTAAAAAATTCATTTCCCACATTAGCATTATTATCCAATTAATCCTTAAATAAAAAAGGTTTAAAGTCAATATCTTTAAATAGAAAAAATTGAAAATCAACATCCTCATTTAGAAACTAACAAAATTAACATCCTTAAATAGAAAAAAGTATAAAGTTAATATCCTTATTTACACATTTTCTCCAATAATTTGTTTTATTTCCAACAGGATTTCATGTGGTCTAAATGAATTCCTTAGTTGCACTTTATTTTTCTTCCATATCATCTACTTTAAATTGCTTGAGACTCACATTATTATGATTGTTGGCTAGGTAGTTTGGAATTCATGATCCATTTATATTTGGTTTTTTAGGCATGATTGTCTTATATTTATTTCTTTTTGTACCTTTTTTTTTTTCACTTAAATCAATTTATCATGGAGCAAAAAGCTAGTATATTTCTAAAATAAGATAATGGAGGAAACTACAAAAAATTTTTGGATATTGTGTTTATTATAGATTAAGAATTGAATAACTTACTTGACTTAAGTCTTAATTAATGTATACCAATCCCCAACAATGAAAAAATAGAAGTAAAAGTAAGTTAAATAAAGTCTTCTCAAAATGTAGAAATTTTCTGGTGTTGCCTAATTAAGGGTATCAAAACTTTTTCCTTGCAGTTGCTTGTTATTGCTCATCTCCCACACACATGCCATGCTTGTTTGTATCCGTCTCCATCTTGTCTAGCTCACTAGTATCTGGACTTATCATTCTTTTAAAATTGATATATCAATTATGTAATGGATTGAAGTAATTTTTGTACTCTTTTTATATTTATATATAATATTATTTTATTGATTGATAAAAAAAATTGTGATAATTTATCAATTTAATACTATTTCCATTTATACCATAATGGAAA